ACCGGTGAAATTCCGGCAAAAGCCGGCGATAAACGTAGTAAGTCGAAGCGAAATAAATAGTTAAGATAAACAATACTATACAAAAATAATCAAAGAAAAGTCATTTTTAACTCCAACTTTAATAACCGTATAATCAGAACTGTTCTTCCGATTGTGTTACATTAGGTCACATCTTGTTTATGTAAGCTTCTTTGAGTACGACAAGAGCTTCCACACAGTCGGGATCAAGAGAACTTCGAAGTTCAGTAACGATTTGACCTGCAATCGAGAAATGCCGTTCGCTTTCAGCCGACGAGTAGGCATGCACCAGTTACAGTTAACTGTAAAACTGTAACTGTCATAGCTGTGTTACTGTTATAACTGTAACTGTCGTAACTGTATAACTGTAAAACTGTAACTGCTCATAACTATACAAATATTCTAGAGTGAATTAGTCTTCTACGATTTGCATACATTTTAAGGATGTCTCTGTTCTTAAAATGTCTCCAAATCGTAGAAGACTAATTCACTCTAGAATATTTGTACAGTTATGAGCAGTTAGAGTTATGAGCAGTTAGAGTTATGACAGTTACAGTTATAACAGTTACACAGTTATGACAGTTACAGTTTTCACAGTTACAGTTAACTGGTAAAAAACTGTAACTGGTGCATACCTACCGACGAGGCAGGAATTACCAACAAAGACTTCGAAATTTTGGCGAGAAGCGAAAGATCACCTTTGTGTCTATACCAAAATGTAAATGGATTATTGTCGTAATCGTCATCGATTTCCATACTGTCGTACATTTGAATTTGTCGATCTAACTCTATTGTTAATGCATTTCGGTTACCATTTGATGGATGTTTTGTGGTTTTTGCATTAAGAAAATCGGAGAATGGATCATCTTTTTTCATTCGTTTCGATGGTGGTGAATTGTCGAATGAATGTTGTAGTGTGCAGGAAATATCTGGATGATGGATAATATTAGACATTAATATATGTAAACCTTTTCGAACAGTTTTCTTCTGTGTTTCCAAATACGAACGATCCGAAACAAACGAAAAAGATTTAAACGATGGATCCAAGTAAGTAGCAACCCAATGAATTGGTAAAATCGAAGATAAAAATTTATCATCAAGACAAGATCGAATTTTGGTTTTTAATGCATCAACTATCTTATGATCATTTATATCAGCACGAACATCGTTCATCATACGATAATAGTTAGGCACCACGTTTTGTAATGTAGGTATATTAGCCATTTCGAGTTTGTCGAAAATCATTGAAAATGGATTCATTAATTTAACAATTTCCTTTACCAAAATTGGATCAATGTTGAATAATCGATGTTGTTCTTGTCTTTCACGAAGTACATTATTAAGTTGTTCAATAGAAGCATTTAAAGAATCGTGAATGGTAAAATATGAACGCCAAGCACGTGTACCACACCCACCTTTCAATGTCTTTGGTAACTTGTCTTGAATACCACTTGATTGATTAACATATTTACGTAATTCACGAATCGCAAGATTGAACGCAGCAAATGTTGGATGTTCTGCATTTTCTTTATTCCAGGCGGTTTCAAGCGTAGTGTTACACCGGTGAGCCATACATGGAAGTCGAGTTTCCTGAGTAATATTGAAAGCCGCCACCATATTACTCCCTTGATCGGTAACGACAGGCGTATCACCAAATGACAAATTGAATGATTCGAAAATTGATTTAATTTCATGCCAAATATTCAGGCTCGTTTTACTATTTTCAGAAAAGTGTTTGCATCGTAATAAACAATGAGAAAGTTCGTATTCATCGGTAACCCAGAAAACAGAAAAATCAAGATAAGAACTAAGAACGTTTAATATAATCGTCAGTCCATATATCACATGTAGCAGCAACGCAATGATTTTTAATTGGTTCTTCAAGAATTTGTCGAATTGTAGTTGAAAAATGATTGAACTTGATTAATGCTTCATTACGAACTGTCTTTCGACCGTAAAAAATATCACGAGCATTAACCTTACCCATGTGAGCACCAATGTCGATTCCAGTTTGTACCAAATCAAGAACACCATCATTCGCCAAAGCATTAAACGAGTGGCTTTCAGCTGTAACAAATTTGAGCTCTGCATCTTTCAGTTGCGTTTGTAAATGTTCATTTAGTTGATTTTTGTTATATGCAAAACCAGGTATGAGAGTTTGAACAGTTGATTTTTGTGGAGGAACATCTGTCGACATCGAAGATGCAACTTTAACAGAACGCGCGCGGCATTCTTTGACGTGTGTATGTAATGACGTTAAGCCATAGTTTTTTCGATTTTGAGAATTATCCTTCTTCGAATGAGTTCGGTATGCGGTAAAACAATGTTTGCAAGCAGCCCATCCTTCAAATATTTGCTGTTGTCCGTTGTCGTCGATTAATCCCACCAGAGAAATATCATTTACCCAAAATTCATGAGTTGCCTTTGGATTGTTCACTAAAACGA